TTGCTATTTATAGCAATCTGAAAGCTGTAAGAATCATTCTATGTTTCATAAACACTACGGTATTATCTTAAAATCTAGGGCATCAAGTATTTTTTGAAAAATTTTCATAGTTGAATAACGCTTTCATACTTTAACCTGCACTACAAAGTCGTAAATCTATAGTCAAAGAGTACAATAAAAGAGTATGAATAAGTAGTCTGAAAATTTAAGAAACTATACTACATGAAATAAATAACTATGTTTATATTAATTTGTAGTGATGATATTTCCATCATTACAATATAAGGTTGATGAAAGAGTCTTTTCGATGAAATTCATATTTCATTTTCGTCTATTAATTTTGTTATCTTGACACTTAAATAAAATACAATTAATGATATTATGAATTATAGTCCCATTCTGTATGACATTTAAGCTCAAAGCATTAAAAAATAATAAAATAAAATGAAACAAATAGAATTTGACGTTCTAAAAAGGATTATTTTGGCAGAACTATAGTACGAATTTCATATCAATTAATTAGATTCTTTGTAAATTAAAAGAACTGCATAATCGTTAATAAGTTATTTTTAAATCTTGAAGACCATGTTACATAACCTATGACATTCATCGATTGATAATCTTTACGAAACTATGAACGAAATCAAGACGGACAATTAATCTCTTGCTATAAATTGTAGTCACCAATTGTTCATCGTTCCATATCGGAAAATCGTATAACTACTGATGAAAAAACTCTTATAATAGTTGATGATCCTGACTTGAAGTAATAAAATTGTTCTTTTTTATTTAATTTTTAAATTATTCTTAAAAATAAACCATACAGATCAACAAAATTTGGTACTATAAAAATTGGTATTCGTTATCTTATTCATAGTTCAGTTTTATCTGTAACAGTATATGCATGCAAGTAAGTTTTCTTTAAAGAATTAATTTCATAAAAAAAAAATCAAGTTCTTTTTCTAGAGAACTTATGAATGTTCATCAACGGAATTTACCGGATCCATATGTACGTCTTTATTTAATACCGGATTTCAAACACGATAAAAAGAAAACAAAATCTATTCATGATACACTTAATCCAACCTATGATGCTTTGTAAGAGATTAATAAAGCAAAATTATTAAATATAAATTTTATATTTTTTTTGATAATTATTTAGATTTGAATGGCAAGCATCATTAGCGAAAATACGTCGACAACGTCTGTATTTAAGTATCAGAAATAATTCACCTTTATTTAAACAAGAGCGAACATATATGGGTGATGTAAGTAAAAAAGACAAAAAGCCATTAATAAAGAGCTATTTTTATTTAATGCTTTTTGTTTTCAAGCTTCAAATTGATTTATCAAATATGGATCCAGAAAAAAAAAGTATTGCTTGGTATGCATTACAACAGTCAAATACAAGCGGTGGTGGCATTATAAAAGTTAAAGATGATACATTAGAATCAAATGAATAAAGGACAATATTGAAAGGAAAATATATATATATTCCGTTTTTATCAACCTTTGTAAAATTCTATCCGTATGTTCACATTTTTTATTTTATTCTGAAATATTTCCTCTTAATAAGAATAAATTTGTCTTGATTAAATTTGTGTAAGTTATAGTCTAGATATATGAACGAATACGAATTAGAAGAAAGTTTTATTGAGTCAATTGGTAAGAAAAAAGAAAAATAATATTAATCATGCATACATATTGTGATTATATTATATTTGAAAGATATTTATAGTTACAATTTCATAGATTGAGAAGTATCTGTTTAATTCTTAAAGTATCGAAATTTCCTAATTAGTGATAATCAGAAGTATTCGACCTTGGGCAGGAAAACTGTTGCCTTATTTCTATTTAAAAAATGTGAAGGTTTTTTTTTATACATAACTCAAAGAAAATGATCGATTGCTTTCGAGAAAAAAAGAAAATTTTTATAATTATGAAGTGTTCTAATCTTCTGATCAAGTCACTATTATTTTTAATTGTATCAAAATGACTATTTTCTTCATCTGTCCATAAGTTTCTATAAAAATGAAAACGTTTTTTACAGTTTTGTGTGAAAATCAATTATTCAGTAGTGTCAAACTTGAAACTTGAATTCAATTCAAATTTCAAGTTTTACCTGAAATTTCAATTGAATTCAGATTTCAACTTTCAAATTTCAAGTTTCAAGCTGGGTATAGGACGTATAGAAGATACAGGAGATAGAGGTGGTGGAATCTTGCTCATAAGGGTGTGGGTGTGGGTGTCAGTGTGAGTGGGTGTGAGTGTCATTGTGAGTGGGTGTGAGTGTCATTGTGAGTGGGTGTGGGTGTGAGTGTCGGTGTAGGTGTGGGTGTGGGCGTGAGTGTGTCAGTGTGGGTGTGTATGAAGAAGAGATATTCACCCACACACCCACGCCCGAGTCAAAATTCAATTTTTTTACTTCCCAAGCAAGGATTTAGTGAAAAAACACAACAAAAATATGCAAAAATCATGGGCACATTATAGCTTTTATTAAATAACAAAACAGGTACATATATATCCGAGAAAAAATCTAAGAAAAATACAATGACACAAGAAAATAGAGAGGAAAAAAAAGAAATATCTAATTCTAGACTGATGACCGTTACTCGACAAATATTTCATTACAATGTTTGATATTCCCTAGACTGAAAGGCTAGGGTCTAGAAACCGAAATTCACCTGTGTCTGTCTGTCTGTCTGTCTGTCGGTCTGTCTGTCGGTAACGCGGTCAAAATGGCCATTTTTTTTGGCACATGTGACCATTTTTTTGGCACAAACGACCATTCTTTTGGCACAAGTGACCATTTTTTTGGCACAAACGGCCATTTTTTTACTAAAATTAACTAGGTAACTATGGTACAAATGAGCATGTAACTATGGCACAAACGGTCATTTTTTTGGTACAAACGACCACGTAACTATGGCACAGGTGACCATATAGCAACCATGGTACAAACAACTATTCCGGTAACTATGGCACAGATGACCATATAGCAACCATGGTACAAACAACTATTCCGGTAACTATGACACAGATGACCATATAGCAACCATGGTACAAACAACTATTCCGGTAACTATGGCACAGATGACCATATAGCTACCATGGCAGAAACAACTATTCCGGTAACTATGGCACAAATGACCATCTAAAGACTGATGTAAATCAACCCATAATAATCATCGGTAAAATGTCAATGAAATAACTATAATTCGGGTAGTGGTGTAAAACCGCTTACAAAAGCATTTAATTAGTGAGAGTCAGACCAAATGAGCAGTATGGATTTAAAGAAATCGTTTAAATTATTCATTATTGTAGGATTGATTATGCAATGTTGTATCAATGAATATCTAATTTATTAATAGTTTAGAATTAATGCGCGAATTTAAGCATAAAATATTGATTAATAAAACTCAAATTTTATGAATAATATAATTCATATTTTTGTACGTACAAATAGCGCCAATATAATTACAAAACAAATCGTATTCTTGTCTAATCTTATTGAGCGCTATTTATATTTATAAAAGCGAAAAAAAATAAAACAAAAACGACAAAAAAAATTAAATTTGTAAAATGCATTATCTTTACTTAGAGTGAGAATTCTCCGAATTAAGTTTTCTGCTCGCCTAAGATATACTGGTAATAATATCAATTTTGCGTATTACTTTTTTAATGTAGCTTTTTATGCTATTACATCCGTACATGTATTCTATCAGTCTAGGGCTAAGTGAATCGCTTGACGATGAACGTTACTTGTTGAAATATGAATTGTAAAGAAAGACTCTAATTACTCAAATGAGTACAACTTTCAGGTTTTTTTTAATACTCATGATAGAAAATCATCCAAAAATTGGAATAAAGCCAACAATTGATCATCGTTATTTATTGCTTGCACTAGACCAAAACATGAATGCCGAGCACGTTTCATTAGATAATAGACACGATTAGTATCTTTGATCACCGATAATATACGAACATATAGTTCTTCGAAGTTGTTCGATCCTACTCAGAACAAATCAAATATTATCACAGCAAATAAAAATCAAACAATGTATTACCAATACGAGAACAATAATGTTTTTTTAAGAATTCTTTGCAAAGAAAATCACGTTCTTCTGACGCTGCTCTCATTGCTTGATCTTCTAATTTTCTTGTCATAGGTTCGTTCTTAATTCTCTTAAAACCTCGACATACTGCTGCTGAATGAACACTATGTGTTGCTTCAACAAGAGCAAAAGACTTCACACTTTCAGAAGCGTTGAAATCAGACGAAAGAGAAGATGAAGAAACATCTGATGGATACGTCAAGTCCGGTTGTAAAAGTGAATTATCTAAAGAAACAGGAATAACGAGCGAATAGAAGGAACATAAATACTACGTCAAGATTTAGGGCGTACCTTCTTCCTCAATAACCGATTGTTTACATTCGTAACTTAAATTATCTTTTACTTCGACATCAGCATCTTGGATAGACGTATTTGATTCATTGTTTTGTTTGTCAAATTCTAAAAGATATATAATTTTTAATAATATGCAATGAAAATTAAATTACCTTTTTGATAAAGATGCATTCCAATAAACTGTGAGCAAGAACTACACTTAGCATCATTGCGAAGAAAATAGTTGTCTATTAATAATTCAATTGTTAGTTTACATTTGATATTCTGCAAAGAAAGAAACACGTATCGTTAACATATTGAGTCTTCAACTGAACACTTTTACTTACTGCTTTCGACATTTGTTGTTTCGCTGTTAATTGTACCAAATCAAAGAAGAATCGTATTACTATAATCTAAAAATAGAAATAAATCTATGCATGCGAATCCTATGAACAGCTGAAGAATAAAAATGAAACTCAACTTCAACTATATATATATACGTCTTCTGAAACAATAAGAACAAATAAATAAAGAGAACGAGATAGCATACTCAGACGAGCCAAAAATGACAAAACACGTCCAACATAACTAGTTTCAAGTGACTTGTAACTCGCCAGACTGATTGTCTTGACGGAGTATATTGTGTAATTAACTATAGACTGGTCCAGACTGTGTCCATCATCTATTATGACTAGTCCATTTTGTCTATTCATACTGTCCAGATTCGTCAGTAAAGCATAGCCCAAAAAATATACGACGAGAGTGTGAGTGTAGGTGATTGAAAAAGAATAATCTACACCCGCGCCCATTTTGACCTTACTTAACTGTCTATCAGTTTTATGATGCTCTGGCTATTAGTTTAACAGACCAAGTATAAGGCAACGAATTCATTGAAATCCAAAATTTTCGTCAATACAAAAAGAGAAAATTCCACATGAGATTGGACAAAAATTCAACGAAACTGGTAGTTATTTTTCTTTTAAAATCATATTGTACTATTTTAATTGTTTTTAGTGTGACTTTTTCGACTTTAGTTGTTTATCATATGTTCATGACTTATCAATAGTCGAAAAGAAGATTATCTACAAAAACAATCTATTAATCATTATTTTAATTATCATGCTTTCGTGGGTGCATGATACTTCTGTGATATGGATAAATGTCGTGATAGTTCAGGGTGTGGGTGTGGGTGTGAGTGCAGAACTTTTTAAAACTCACGCCCATACCCACAACCGCACGCACACGCACACCCACACCCACATGAAAGTTTGAACCAAGCGCACCTATTTCTTCTTCACCCCACCCACAAAACCGTACACGATACTTATATTTCGGATAAGTAGATGTTCGGAAGAGACGTGCAAGAACCACAGCAAAAGCAAGATTAGCCGCAGTACCACTTCCTTTGAAAAATTAAAAAAACTGATATAGAGTTCCACAGAGTAAATGAAGCGACTAAGTGATTCTCTTGCGCAACCTAGAATTACATTCAATCAATGATCTCTAGTTATCATTATTCACATATGTGTACTACTAGATGATAAATAAGACTTGAAGTCATGAGATAAATATCAATCAATTTTCAGCATAGAGCTGTTCTACGATAATCTTCTATTTTGAAGATGAATACATGGTTGATAAAAGAACTTTTTTTTCGTGCAGTCAATCACAAGTACAAATGATTATACTGTACAAGAACTACGTAGAAGGATCTTTATAGATTTTCAA